TCTCTTTACCCACCCATTATTTTTTATGAATTTTGAAGTAAATTATAGGTATCAGTACAGTTAAAAAAAAAAGATTTATTTTTTGAGAGAGAGAGTGAGCGTGCCCTCGAGTCAGGGTGGAGGCAGAGGGAGAGAATCTTCAAGCAAGACTCCCTGCTAAGCGCGGAGCCAGATGTGAGACTCCAGAAACCGAGTCAGATGCTTAACTGAGCCACCCAGGCGCCCCACTATACTTTATTAGAATGCATTGAGAGGGGTGGGATGGTCTTTGCTGTGCTGGGACTGCCAACTCTTGAGTGCCAGGGGTAAGAAAGCCACATCTGTTACTAAATGGTATGGATTAGCTCATCTTTTTTCCCTTAGCTCAGCTGTAGTTGCAGTGGTAATTTCTCATGGATTATTTCAGTGTTTCTGCCTTAGAAAATCTCTTGGAAGCCAGCTGATATCCCAAACAAACATTATTAGGAATATGAACTCCACAGAGAACATCCATTACCTCCATATCCCACAATGCAGGCCAAAATGCTTTCTTGTTCGTATGCCCTAAATTTATTGTTGGTACATAGGAAGTAGGGCTTTCTTCTATCATACTGAGCTGACAAAAGCCTTAGGTTCTGAGGTACAGAAATTGTTTCTAGGCTGTTCTTGGCATCTACAGTTGTTTTACCATATGGTACTGGCTAATTTTGTCTGTTCTTCCCTTGAGGCTTTTGTGAATTGATTACATTTTTAGAAAATTTTTTAAATAACTTTTTAAAATGTCAAAGCTTTCTCAGTAGAATAAAATATGATGGGAGATTACATCAACATGAGAACAAGTTAAGAGAATTTTTCTCAAAAACTTAAGCATTTAAATTGAATCTATACATAATTCCATATTATAAATTAGCATTGGTCATATTCATGAAAGCCCTGTTGATACGAAATATAAAGTAATCTTGGACCTGAAGAAATAATTCAGTTAGTGTAGAGATCATATGAGAGTTTCTGTAGCTCTTCTCTCTCTGGAAAGGTCATCTCTGGCTAAGCACACAGTTCCTAAAGGGAAGCACAGGAGAGGTGAAGGAGAAAGAAGACAGCTTAGCCCATCAGCTAAGCCTAATCAATCCTGGTCATCAATAGGATCATTCATGTCACTTTCAGATTTGGAAGTGATATCCTGTAGAGCAGCTGCACCATAATATAATGGAAAAAACCTGTTTTTTTGAGTCAGAATTAGGTTTTGTTTCTAGTTCTGAAACCAGTTGTCTCAAACCTAGGTCTCGCTAGGCCTAATTAGACTCATCTCAAGCCAACTGATCTATTTTCTCCTTCCTCCCGGGGAGTCCTGTGACTGCTCACCCAGATCTCAGTGTGTCTGTCTGGGTGCCCACCAAGCACTCCCAGGGGCCCAGGAAGCCCCGAGTAGGTAGCAGCAACCTACTGTCAAATGACATGGAAAATGGTGGGAGTAGGGAGCTCCAAGAATCAGTCCCCCCATTGAAGTAGCCATTAAGCTGGCAAGTCTGACAGAATCAACCTTTTCAGAACTCTGGAATTGGTAAGTGAAAAATGAAAAAAGATTATAAAACAGTATGATCCCATTTTGGGTTTTTAAAATAAGTATTTATGGTACAGAAAAAAATTCAGAATATATATGAGTAGTGTTTCTCTCTGGCTACTGGGAGTACAATTATTATCTTGTTTATCTGCTATTCCTAAATTTTCTATAGTGAATATATATTCTGTAAAAAATAGCAAAAAGCAAAATAGAACAGTTTGGCAGTTTCTCAAAAAGTTAAACATAGAGTTTCCACATGACTCAGCAATACCACTCCTAGATATATACCCAAGATAACTGAAAACATATGTACACAAAAACTTATACATGAATGTTTATACCAGCATAATTCATAATAGCCAAAAAGTGGAAACAAAGCAGATGTTTATCAGATAAATTGATAAACAAAATGTGATAGATCCATATAATGGAATATTACTCAACAATAAAAAGAATGAAGTACTGATACATGCTTCAACATGAATGAACCTCAGAAACATTATACTAAATGAGCCAAACACGAAAGGTCACGTATCACACAATAACATTTATCGTGTATGTCCAGAATAGGCAAATCTGTAAAGACAGGAAGTCTGGTTGCCAGGGTCTGGGAGGAAGGGGGACTGGGAAGTAACAGTTACGGGGTGTAGAGTTTTCTTTGGGGGATGATAAAAATGTTCAGGAATTAGATAGTGATGGTTGCACAACTTTGTAAATGTATAGTTGACCCTTGACCAACACAGATTTGAACTGGGCTGGTTGACTTATATGTGGATTTTTTACAGACACTACTCTACATGTATTTTCTCTTATGATTTTCTTACTAACATTTTCTTTTCTCTAGCTTTATTGTAAGAATACAGTGTATAGTATGTATAACATACAAAATATGTGTTAGTTGGCTACCAGTAAGGCTTTGAGTCAGATAGGCTGTATTAGTAAGGTTTTGGGTGAGTCAGATGTTACACGTGGATTTTCAACTCCATGAGGCATCAGCTCCTCTATCCCCCATGTAGTGCAAGGGTCAACTGTACTGAAAACCACTGAACTGGATACTTTAAAAGGGTGAATTTTATGATCTGTAAAGTGTAGCTCAGTGAAGTAATGTTTAAGAAAGGTAAAATAGACTATGAGCTACAAGCCATTAGAATGAAAAAGAATAAATTTAGCAAGTTAATAGTCAAATTTTCTCTGAATTCTGTAATTACAGTTATGGATTTAAAAAAATTTTTAAGTCCAATTAGTTAACATACAGTGTTATAATAGCCTATAGTTGTGGATTTTATTATTTTATTTTTTTTAGTTATGGATTTTAAAAGAGTAAGTTTTGTTAAAGAGATGAGAATCAGGAAATTATAAGCAATTATATAGCCGAATCTCCACAGCCTTTTTTTTTTTTTTTAAGTGAAAATTTGGGACATTTTAAAACTGATATAGGAAACTGTTTTCTTCTCTTTTTAGAGTGTGGCTTTATACTTTTAATTATTTGCACTATTTTTGGAATTGTTATCCTTTTTTAATGCTTTTATCATTCTAATAGCTTTCAGAGAGTTTTTTTTTTTTTTAAAGATTTTATTTATTTATTAGAGAGCAAGCGAGAGAGAAACAGCATGAGAGAGGAGAGGGTCAGAGGGAGAAGCAGGCTCCCCGCTGAGCAGGGAGCCTGATGTGGGACTCAGTCCCAAGACCCTGGGATCATGACCTGAGCCGAAGGCAGTCGCTTAACCAACTGAGCCACCCAGGCGCCCTTTCAGAGAGTTTTTAATGAGAGTGTGTACATGTATGCTTGCTTGTGAGTAGATTTTCTCAAGTAAGCTGCCATCTCTAGATCCCATTTAATTATGTCTAAGTGGTTTAATCATGTTCTAGAATAATATAAGCAGTATAAATAGATCTCATTTCCCCCTTTTATGATTTTCCTTTCTCCTGTCCTCATCCCCTTCCCCTGGGCTTTATACTCCAAAATATAAAATGGGGTTAGAGTATAATACCTTATTTTTAATTAATTCTTCCAGTAAACATTTATTGAGTACCTGCTATCTGCCAAAGCACTGTGCTAAGGTTAAAGATACAAAAATAAAATATCTGGTTCCTGGGGCACCTGTCTGGCTCAGTTGATAGAGCATGTGCCTCTTGATCTCTGGGTCGTGAGTTCAAGCCCCACACTGGGCATAGAGCTTACTTTAAAAACAACAACAACAACCTGGTTGCAGACAGATAAAATGATACATCTTAGAGCTACTCTCTGAACAGTTAGGAAGGCATTTAACCCAGATAAGGGAGGTCATAGACAAGACTTCTTTCTACCATCAATAAAATTAGAAGGTTGATCTTTGAAAGCAAGTTACATCTATTATGCATTTTTAGAAAACTATTGAAAGTAGAGCTCATGCTTGAATCTTAGTACATCCCACAACTACAGAAGCACAGAAAAAAATCTTGAGAAAAGCAGTGGGATCTGTCTCCAAGACATGGTGTATATAAGCCAAACTCTGTTGGGTTTTTTTTGTTTGTTTTTAAAGATTTTATTTATTTATTTGAGACAGAGAGAATGAGAGAGAGAGAGCACATGAGAGGGGGGAGGGTCAGAGGGAGAAGCAGACCCCCTGCCGAGCAGGGAGCCCGATGCGGGACTCGATCCCGGGACTCCAGGATCATGACCTGAGCCGAAGGCAGTCGCTTAACCAACTGAGCCACCCAGGCGCCCCTGCTTTGTTTTTTTAATTGGCATGAATACAAGCAGTAGACGAGCAAAGACCTGAGGTCAAAGTTTGGTTTCTGCTTCCTTGACTGTTTAACATGTTGAAGACTTTTTAAACTATCAGAGCTTTTAGAGGCTTTGCTTATCCTAATATACCTACTAAATTAAAAAGAAAAATACCATTATGAACTTAAAAGGAATTACTATTTTCACTGGTATTTTTAGAGAAACAGACACGTAGCCATATTGGTTGTTAAATATTGAAATATATCCTTACTGGTTGGTAAAGAGCTGATGCTGTAAGCCATCTGGGTGCTCTGTCATAGCCTGGACTGTCCCCCAGGGACTCTAACCCTGTATCTCCCCACAATCCAGCAGCTAAAAGATTATCTCCAGGCGTAGAAGGAAGCCTTAAGGACCCTGCTTCCGTACTGCTTTGGCATCCATTTGGAGTGCTGGTGCCGGGCCATCCCCACTGTTTAATAATTTTGAATATCACCCTGTCTTTCTGACTGTTCCGTAAATCATTGGCATTTTAACTATGTTTGTTTTCTGCCAATTGGAGTATCAAATGACCCTAGCTCACCTGCCATTGCTTATCTGTGTAGAAGCAAAATTGAGTTGTATTATTTGCTGAATAACCCAGAATACCATCGTACTGTAACTAAGAGTCTCCTAAACCATGCTGCTCTTCTTCTGTATTTCTTTCAATGATGACAGTTTGGCCTAAGTTCTGTGTTCTCTTATTGTTCCTTCCAGTTCACTTTGCACCTTATAGGCCTCCAGATATCTCCCTGAAGCCTCTGCTCTTTGAAGTGCCCAGCATCACTACAGAGTCAGTGTTTGTTGGCCGGGATTGGGTTTTCCATGAAATAGATGCTCAACTTCAGAGTTCAAATGCCAGCGTGAACCAAGGAGTAGTGATTGTGGGAAACATTGGGTTCGGCAAAACTGCCATCATTTCCAGACTGGTGGCCCTCAGCTGCCATGGAACACGGATGAGACAGATCGCCTCAGACAGCCCACACGCCTCCCCCAAACGTACGTATTCCTTTTTAAAGCACTCCCTGCTTCGTTGCTCTGAAAGTTTTTCTGACATATTAAGCCTTACATCCTTTTATTTTCTGATCTGCAAAAACCTGACTTACACGAGAGGACCATTAATTCAGAGTTGAGGGAAAGAATGTAATACTCTGTTTACATTTAACCCACATATCTAGCGGTCACCTAAGTGTGACTGAGAAACCTTTCTCTGGGAATAAATTTATGACTCTTCCCTTCTGGCAGTCTGGTTACTCTGTCCTTTGGACGATGACTGCAGCTTCGCCTGTAAGAGCCGTTTGCATCCGTCCCTGTCGGCTGTTGCTCAGCCAGGGCCCGTGTCCTCTCGCTCCGAGCCGGCACAGTTTGTGTGCAGCTTTAGTTCCCTTGCTCTTGAAGTCCGTACTGCACTGCTTGGGCTCGAACTTCATTGTGTCCTTGAAGGGTTTCTCCTGCTTCCTTGTGAAAAGATGCTGAGATCTCATATATATATTCATACTTCTTTCATCGCAGGGCACAGCTTAACGATCACCACCAGGATCTTATTTTTAAAATACTCACGTGGTCCTTAGTACCAGGCACTCTCTAAGATCTTAACCAATATTAATTCACCCAATCCTCTTATCAACTCAATAAGGTAATTCCTGTTATCTTCATGTCACAGAGAAGTGATCTGAGGCTCAAAGAGGTTAAGTAGACCTCCCAGGTTTCAAAGCCAGTCAATGGTGAAACAAGTGAGCCTAAGCAGTCTGTTTCAGAGGCCAGTCTCTTACCCACTTTGCTGTCCTGCCTCTCCTTATTGGAGGAACTCATCTGAAGAAAGAGAATGTATGAATGTTCTTCCTATATAACCTATATATATAGAACTAGTCTGCCTGGTTTCTATTACTTATAAGAGAACAAAACCAGAAACTATTGCTCTACTAGTCCAAATCAATAATCTAGCTCACCGCAAATTTTCAGACAGCAACCACTAGAAATGGCTTGAGATCATGGTAGTTACAGAGTCTAGCACATGCTAGAAACTCAACAGGAACTCTCTTCGCATCCTCCAGATATTCTGGCTTCCTGATGAAATAATTAGCAGCCTCCTGTCATTAAGTAGGCAGATTACCTCTGGTTAACTTAATGGATATCTCACATGGAGAAGAACTAGTGTCTACAGAGAAAACTGGTTGAATTAAGAGTCCCAGGGTATGATAAAAATTGGTATGGAAGAATTCCTTTCTCACAAGCACTGTCATGCTGTTTCTACAGGAAGCTTTTCTGAGGGAAATTAACATTGTGTCGTGGGAGCCAAGAGCCCAGAGTTTGAGCCCAACACTCATGTGACTACACATATTTTGTAACTTGAGAATTTTAATTGAATTTTTTAGACCTGTTTTCTCATCTGTAAAATGAGGAAGTGATCTTTAAGATTTGTTCCTGTGTTAAAATTCTGTGATTCTAAAAACATATCTTCTTGAAGTTGAAAAGTAGTTGAAATTAACTTTCCAGACTATTCCAGTATTTTCCTTTGAGTGCTTAAATATCACACCAGACTACATCTTATCTGAGAAATCCAAGAGGTTAACTCTTTGAGTGTGTCAGAAAGAAAACCAGATTGCTAATAGGCTCTCTGACTCCTCTGTATATCGCTGTTGCGATAACAGGATGGTAGAATCCTGCAGGACAGAATAAATCCCGAGGGCAAAAAGAGCTGTTTTCTGAGAAAGCAAAGGTACCTGGGAGAGCAAGAGTTAATAGAACACAGCCCATGTGCTCCCCAAAGCAGAGGTTCTTTAAAGGTAGTTCATTAAGTTATTCTCTGACATCCATTGCCTTTTATCTCCAGAGATACTCTAAAAATACCAGGACGCTGCCATGCTTGAGATAAATGTCCGTATGTTGTGACTGTAGATTTGCCCTGATAGTTAACTTTCAAAACTTGAAGATGGTGTCAAAGGAGATAGAATATGTGGTTATGTATTTATCAGAATTACACAGAACCAGCAGTAGCCTTGTACAAAATAATTTTTGTTGTGATCTGCCCAAGTCCAAACTACCTCCTACCTCCGTCACCTTCCCAGAGCCACTAGCCTTTAAGAAGGGTCAAGAATACGTGACTGATAGAGCGTGCGAGCTGTTTCTCGGCATTAATCTGTTATTATGTAAGCTGGGGTTGGGAGTTTTCCTGGCAGCAGCAGAATTTCTTTCATTAATGAATAAGAATGATGTCTGTATGGAGAGATGGCTTAATTTTTCCACAGACTTTAATTTGCATCAAGCTGGGATAGGTTTATTTGAATTCCCAAGGGCTTTCCTAACCCTCCGTCAGTGATACCAGTGATAACAGTTGTAGAAATAACAAGAACAAGGTGGAAAATCGTTGGAGCTCCCAGCTTCCATCTCTGCATCATCTGCCTTCTTTGTTCTGCCCCTGCCTCCCGCACACTGTGCAGCACTGCTGGGAAAGATGTGAGCCTCTCAGCCTGCAGCCCTGCCTCGCCTGGCTCTGTCCTTCCCCCGCAGACACTCAGCCCCCAGCCCGCCCCCTCCTTGTCATTTCCCTGGGACAGTACAGAAAAGCTGTCAAGGCAGGCAGTAGCCTGTCATCCTGCTTTCCACCCACACCCCTTCCCAAACCCAACTCCCCCGTCAGTCTCCACCACCACCGTCATCACCCCCCCACCCCCCCAGCACAGACACACAAAGAACAAAAACATCTTGTAAAAATAGACCCGTTGTGTAATTTAGGCATTATTACGTTAACTACAAGTATACTCAGTACAGTAGTTAGGGAAGCTCTGTCTAATACAAGACAAGACAATCTTTTCTCATCACTACAAGTCTCAGGGTAGATATTATTTGGATTTGACATTTGCCAACAGCTGCCAAGCCCCCAGACAGCTGTTGAAGTGAGCAACCCCTACCCTCCCTAGTCCGCTCGTTTCAGAAGTCTGTTTTGTCGGTTTGCTGTACATATTGACTGCTACCTACCTACGAACTTGTTTCTCCTGTTCTCTGAGTACCAAACAGAGAGTAAAGATACTCTGACAAAAAGGAAGTCATCTCCAGAAAACAGTAGCTGGAGTACAGAAGGTATTCAGGCAGTAATTGCCCACAAAATCAAATACCAGACAAAGGGAATGGGGTGGGAGAAGGAGTGAACAACAAAAATGATACAGCGACAGTCACTGAGCTTTACCTCAGTTCACACATTTTCAGTCTTTTTCCACTGCTGCCTCCCACTGCTGTCCTCCTACAGTTATTCTGAACTCGGCTCCAGTGACCAGAGAATTTCCTCTCCCAGCTGGATGGAAGAAGTCTTAATTCAGTCCTGCTGGTGGGGAGTTAAATGAGGACTACCTTCCCCTATTCCTCCTCCTTTTCAATGGCTAGTGACCGTCAACAATCTCCTGATTTTGGTACCCGTTTTTATACTGTGATCTGTACCCATATATATATATATATAGTCTATAATTTCTTGTAGGAGAGAAGACATTTTCTAAATAAATGAACAAATGGAATTTTTTAAAAACAGCTTTATTTTTATTAAGTTACAATTCACATACCACACAATTCACCCACTTAAATTGTTCAGCTCAATGCTTTCTAGTTTATTACAGAGTTGTACAGCAATCACCATAATCTAATATCAGAACATTTTTGTCTCCCCCCAAAAGTAATGCCCATTAGTGGTCAATCTCCATTCTCCCCCTAACTCCCTATCTTCACCCCTATATAACCACCAATTTACTTTTTGTGTATATGGATTTCTCTACTCTGGGAACTTCATATAGAGAGAATCATACGGTAGACGGTAACTGGCTTCTTTGAATGAGTGTAATATTCCATTGTATGGATTTTCCGTATTTTAACTGTTCGTCAGTTGGTGGTCATTTGGATTGTTTTCACTTTTGCACTGTTATGAATCTTGTTCCTTTGAACATTTGTGTACAAGTTTTTCTGTGGGCCTAAGTTTTTATTTCTCTTGGAGTAGAATTGCTGGATCATAGAACAAATGGAATTTAACCAATCTTCCTTTTACTCAGGGCTTTATGAATATCTCATACAAACATCTCATCTTTTTAATCCAGATGTGGATGCCAACAGAGAGCTGCCACTCACACAGCCACCTTCAGCCCATTCATCCATCCCCAGTGGAAGCTGCCCAGGAACCCCAGAAATGCGCAGGCGGCAGGAGGAGGCTATGCGGAGACTAGCCTCGCAGGTACAATAGGGTTTCCAGGGTGCGGGCATGCCAGTTCCATTTGGACATAAAGGTAGGGGGACCCTTGGCAAAGTGGACAGAAATGTGTACAGCTATACCATGAGACTATGGTGGAAAGTTTCTCTTTCTTTGCTCCTCCTAGAAAAATACTTTGTCATTATGGAATGAAAACCTTATTGTTTGAAAGGCCCTCAGAAATAACCAGAGTCCCATAATGAATAGATAAAGAAGTCGAGACTCAAAGAAGTTATATGATTTATCCAAATCACAGTATAAGCACTCAGTAGTTTATTTTCATTCCTAGTTCAAAACTCTTCCTTCTATACTATACTGTCCATAATATTTTTATATGTTTGGGTTTTAAATTTCTATTTTTATCAAAGTAACATATGCATGATTTCAAAAATCAAATAATGCTCAAAGACTTATAATAAAAACCAGCAATTCTTTTCCCCTCCTCACGCCAAAGGCAGCCACTTTCAACCCCTGAGGCTGTTCTTCTGATCTTTACCTCCACTGTTTCTAAATAATATTCATATACTGCTGTAATTTTTTTCATCAGTTTTATATGTTATTTCTTGCTGCTTCTTATGGATGATGAGAATTTTAGGTCTTTCACTTTACTTCCTCCCTCCATCATCTCATACTGTTATATCATGATTTTTGTCTGAATCCACATTATAGTATTTTCAGTATTAGTACGGTGCGTATATGTTTCATTGTGGAACCAAGGATAACATTTCCTTCTTGAGCAATTTTGTTTTTCCTGGGGTCACGAAATGCCTCATTTTAAATTTTGCTTATTCTTGACAGGGGGCACCTGGCTGGTTCAGTTGGTAGAGCATGTGACCATGTGACTCTTGATCTCAGGGTTGTGAGTTCAAGCCCCACGTTAGGTGTGTAGCCTACTTAAAAAAATTTAAAAAATAAAGTAAAATTTGCTTATTCTTTTTCAAGTCTGTAGCTATAATCCATAATCCTTAATAGCTTTGTAAAATGCCTCTCAGTACAGTTTTATACATCAGTTACATTTCCCCTGAGACATCTATCTTAGAGCCTTCCATCAAGCTCAGCCTGGACCTAGGATGCTCTCGAGGCTTACCACCTAGCTGTTATCCTGGAAATTCCCATTACTTCTCTTCTGTGTTTGATCCCATGTCATCATCTTCTTTCTTGATTTTATCTTTCATTTTGGTACAGCACATCCGCCAGTGCACGGGAGGTAAGTTTTTAAAACTTAAGTTTCTAAAAACATCTTTATTCCATTCTCATTCATTACTATTTCTATGACATAATGTAATTCTAGGTTAAGAATTATTTCCCCTCAGAATTTTGAAGGCATTGCTCCATTGTCTTGAGCTTCTAATAATTTTGTTATTAAATGATATTCTTATTCCTAATTCTTTTTTTTATTGAAGATTTTTATTTATCTATTTGTCAGAGAGAGAGAGAGAGCTAGCACAAGCAGGGGGAGCGGCAGGCAGAGGGAAAAGCAGGTTGAGCAAGGAGCCCAATGAGGGACTCAATCCCAGGACGCTGGGATCATGACCTGAGCCAAAGGCAGACACTTAACTGACTGAGCCTCCCAGGCATCCCTTATTCCTAATTCTTTATACCATTTTTGCTCTCCAGAAACTTTTAGGATCTTCTTTTTTATCACCATTGTCCTTGGGCCTTTTTTCCATTTATTGTTTTGGTACCTACCTGGAGATAGTCTTTGATTCTGGGAAGTGCTTTTGTACTACTTATTGATAATTTTATCACCACCATCTGCTCTGTTTTCTCTTCTACAACTCTTTTTAATAAAAAATTAGATTTCTTATACTGATACTCTAGTTTTCTTTCCTATATTCTACTTTTGTTTTTCTATTTTGGTTTTTGATTTAACTTTAAGAGATTTTTCACAACATCACCTTCCAGTCCTTTCACAAGGATTGGCTGTCATAGTTTTCCAATAACTCTTTCTTTTGCCCTAGTTGTTCCCTTCTTTTTCATGGCATTCTGTTCTTGTTTTATAGATAGATTATTTTCTCTTATCTCTTCCTTAGTACTTAGGCACTGGAAAACTGATTGGAAGCTTATGTGTATAGAGAGCTTAACTGTACAGCAGTAAGATGACCCACCAGCCTTTGTTGGAAACACCCAAAAGTCAGTGTTCATAAAATTTTTTCTTTGTGCTGATCTTCTCTAGCAAAAAATCTACCCATCTCTTTCCTGTAGGATATATATCCTGGGTCTGTATCTAGAGCTGGCAAGAGAAGAGCTGGAGTTTCACCATTCAGTATGCAGACTTTTACTCAAGTCCCTTGTTTTCAGTCCTGCACTTGACCCTTACCTATTCTGTGTCTGATATCCCTAAGTCTATTTTCCCTGGTTTTGTTTCTCTAATGAATATAATTCTCTTTCCTGTGGGTGTTGGGGAAGGTAGTCACCTGGCTTGGCAGGGTGGGTGTGGCTGTCTGGAGAGCTAACTGCCCCTTATATAAACTTCAAATAATGTCTGTATTTTCAGTTCCCTTCCTCACCCCGATCTTCCACAGCACCTGGTGCTTCTAACTCCTGTGCTTTTCTGAGGTTTTACAGATGATCTGGCCTCATCCTATTGTCCTTCCTCCCAGCAGACATTTGTTTCACATTCTTCTGTCTGCTAAGTCATTTATGAATCATACATCTACTTTCTAACCTTCTATATTATAATCTGAGATTATAGACAGATGGCCATATAGGTGGAGTTTGCATGTCTCTTATTCTCCTTATCTTTGAGGATTTTCAACAGAAGAACAGAGTTTTAACGTGTCTGTTTCCAATATTCAGAGAAATCTCTTGTCATGGTTAATTAGTAATGAGGAACAGGGAGTCATTTGTAATATCATAAGGTTCTAATTTCTTCATAGACATCCAGTCCAGCCCAGAGCTCGAAGCAGCATATTTCCCCCAGCTACGTTTTTAACTGTCCCCACTTATCAGTGGGCTTCTGAAACAGTCTCAGATTTCCCTCATATTCATTGCTAACTCAGTGCAACTTTAAAAGACATCTGCTTTTTTCTAAATATTTTGGATTAACTAGCTCCCGCTTCTTCTTTAGAAGATCAGAATAAATATCACCTTGGAAATACATTGAATGCTGAAGAGCTTCCATCATCATCATCAATTTACTCATTTAGAATGGAAGTTTGGAATGCATCAAATACAAGACTGAAGTTAAGGCAGTGAACAAAACAGACACAGTCCCCACTGTTACGTAGCCCACATTCTCGCAGTGGGAGAAAGCCAACAAACAAACATGTAATATGTCAGATCGTGATGAGTGCTGAAAAGAGCTCCAGGAATTACATCTCCCCACATTATCACTTCTTAGTCTCTCTCTCATCAGGAGAAAAAGTCTCAAGAAGTTTGTGTTCAATATTTGGGAAATGTTACATATTGTTTGTAGGAAATTAGTGACTACACTTAAGTGATCTCATTTTGGGGTGCCTGGGTGGCTCAGTTGTTAAGCATCTGCCTTCAGCTCAGGTCATGGTCCCAGGGTCCTGGGATCAAGCCCTGCATTGGGCTCTCTGCTCCGCCGGAAGCCTGCTTCTCCCTCTCCCTCTCCCCCTGCTTGTGTTACCTCTCTTGCCTGTCTCTCTGTCAAATAAATAAGTAAAAAATCTTTAAAAAAAAAAGTGATCTCATTTTAAATTCCATGATTGTGTCTATCTTAAGCAAAATGTAAATCTTTTTTGTGCCTAGAGATGGGATATCTTTAAATTTATATTGAACATTGTATAAGAAATGGCTCTTTAAATTAAAATTGGTGTTTATGTTCAAGATTTGGAAAATGTTAAATATTGTAAGTAGGAAATTAGTGATTATTTACACTTACTCAAGGAATATATTTTAAATTTCATGATTATTTCTTCCTTAAGCAAAATCTAAATGCACCTGTCTGCACCTAGAGATGGGATAGTTTTAAGTTTATAGTAAATGTTGTACAAGAAATGGCACCTTATTATCCTAGTAATTGTGCCATGTGTCACATTTTAAGTATATAAGCTAGTTCTTGGAAGCATAGAGCAGAAGCCAGCAATCTTACTTCTCACTATATAACAAGCCAGTAAGCAGAAGCCTTTTCAGTAAGATTTTCAAATCAATTAGTATTTTGAGGAGGTAAGCTAATATATGTGAATTAGAAGTGTCCGTGAAGGGGTGCCTGGGTGGCTCAGTCGTTAAGCATCTGCCTTCAGCTCAGGTCATGATCCCAGGGTCCTGGGATCGAGCCCCACATCGGGTTCCCTGCTCAGCAGGAAGCCTGCTTCTCCCTCTCCCACTCCCCCCTGCTTGTGTTCCCTCTCTCGCTGTCTCTCTTTCTGTCAAATAAATAAATAAAAATCTTAAAAAAAAAAAAAAGTGTCCATGAAAAACCTCTTGATTTGATAGACAAAGTTCTTAGTGCCAATTCTTGTATATCAGTAATTATCATTGGTATTTTCAGGACCTATTGTTAGGTGGGGAGGAAAGTGCACAGGAGTATGGGATGCTAACTTTCATGTAAGAAAGAAAGGGATATAAAAAAAATACACATGTATCTGCTTACTTATGCAAAAGAAATGCAGGAAGGATAAACCAGAAGGAAAAGATACTGATTACCTAAAGCTGGTTGGTGGGAATGGAGAATAGGAAGATATGGGTAATGGAAATGGGGTACCCATTAAGATGAAGAGAGAATGACACTCCTTTGCATGTATTTTTTTGTATAGCTATGACTCTTAGAAACATAGTGATGTTTCACATATCCAAAACATAATTAAAACCAACCAGTATGTTGGGGTGGGGAAGCCCAAAGTAGAATCCAAACATTCACAAATAAACCTCACTGTATTTCAAGATTTTATGCATTTATTTAGAGTGAGAGAGAGTGCACACACGTGAGCAGGGGGAGGGGCAGACTCCATGCTGAGTGTGGAGCCCAGTGCAGGGCTCAGCCTCACAACCCTGAGATCATGACCTGAGCCAAAATC